CCACGTTATACATATGGGACAGAAAAAAACATTCTGATCATTACTATTCATTATTTGTACTGTGGAAGTGCCTAGGCACTATGCAAATTCAGAACAAAATAGACAGTACCTGCCGCAAGGACCTTACAATAAGGGGAAAGGTTCCATTTTCAAGTTTCCAAGGGACTATGGCTACCTCAGTGATTTTGACAAGGATGCCTTGTAAAGTCTCATCTGATTAGAAGACAGTGGCTGGACATGAACCTAATATAAAACCCCACATGTAGGTATTAAACCTATCGAAATTCCGTGCCTATTTGATTGTCAAACTGAATTCAGAGTTGGCAACCTCAAGTATCCAAAAATCATGAATCAGCCCCCTCCAAAATAATGAGACTGGCTTAAAAATCATGAACTTTAAATATAACAATAATACACTAGAGATTGTTTTTATTTACCTTCTGGATTATGAACCTTTAGGATGCAATTGGGTCAGATTCTCAGGCTCTTCTCTGCAACCAGGAGGCTTAGAAGCTTTCATTTTTTTAATGAAAGCTGAGATATGCATATATTTACATGACTGGAAACCAAGGCTTTAAGAAATACACCAACGATCATGGGACTCATGATAAAATCTTGCGAATAGGCAGCTAGATCTGTGCGGAGAACAGAAATTCCATTTTGTGAAGTATTTCGAGGTTTTGAAATCTAGTTTTGTTTTGAATTGGAATGAAACTCAAAATTTTTCTAATTCTCTGTAAAGGAAAAGTCTGAATTTTTAAAAATTTCTGATTGATTGAAGTGTTTTGTTTTGACAAAATCATATTGAGATGTTATGTTTCAATTTGACTCTTATTTTATATTACAAAATAAAAAAATCAAAACAAAAAGTAATTTCAAAATGAAAAATCAAAATGCTTCATTCCAAAAATGTTGAAATGGGATGTTTTGACACTCTTGGAATATTTTCTCTCCCTCCCACCCCACCCATTTTTTCTTCAAAATAAAATGATGGTTAAATCATGATTTTGCAAAGCATTTCAGTTTTGATAGAACTGCATTTTTAGACAGTAAATGGTTCGGTCAACGTTTTTCTGACCAGCTCCATTGGCAACTGAGACTCTGGGGACATAAATCTTTCACCACACTGCCTTTTATAACCCATTGTACTTACAACTCTCACATTATACCAGAACAACACTCCCATTCCCTTTTAACTGAAATCACTGGAGCTTTGAACAGGCACAAGGGTCTTCCTGCATGGATGTGAGTTTTCCTGTGTACGCAAGCTGACTTACATTAACACCGGCCCTTATTGCTCTTTTCCTCATTGTCCCTCTCCCACTACATCCTACTGTTTGTTTTACTCACAGTTGAATCTTGTCTTAAACTAGACTCTGAGCTCTTTCAGGCAGGGTCTGTCACTCTACGTTGTCTTCGTATGACATTGTGAGGGGGTGGGCTAGGCCCAGAGGCCCCCTGCGGGAGGCCTCAGGGTCCTAAAACAGTAGTCCCAGGAAAGGAGCAGTGGAGAGGTCCTCCAGACAGGCTAGAGTGGCTGCAGGGGAAGCAGCTAATCAGAGAGGCTGCAGGGAGTGGCTAATCAGGGCCCAGGAGGACCCTATAAAAAGGAGCTGCAGCACTGTAAACAGTCAGTTTCTTGTTGGAGTGAGAGTTCAGGTGATACTCCTGGCTGGCCAAAGGGAACGCTAGCATAATGGACAGCTCAGTGCTAGTAGGGACTGGGGGAGTGAGGAAGAGCTCCTGGCTGGCTGCTGGGTCTGAACTTAGAAGGGCCCTGAGCAAAGGATGAGGTGGTGGTGGTGAAGGCTGGGGCTCTGGGGAAGTGCCCATGGAACTGAAGGCAGTTGTCCTAGAGCAGTGCTTCCCAAACTGGGGTTTGCAAAGTGTTACAGGGGGTTCTTGGGGAAAAAAATTCCCTAATGGTGGACAGAGCTGTCCCTAGGGACCCTGGGTAGCATGTGGCCAGCAGCCCAGAGCTCCTAGACTTCCAAGAGCTAAGCAGATCAAAGCAAGCATATCTATCACACTGAGGAGATTTAAACTTCAAGACTCATAAGAAAGGGAGGTGGATATTTTTTGCTGTTTTTAAAATTAAATAGGCAGTTAGTATTGTTTGAAAAATTATTATGAAGAACAAGTTTAAGCTTTGTTGTAACGTGAGTTGTTTGCCTGGACTGCTCAAGACCTGAATACTTGTGTAGGAGGAACTCTTTGAGTTGGCTTCTTAAATACCTTCATGCTGTTTCACATCTGATACTCCTTGATGAAACATAAGAGCCTTGTCTTACAACAGGCTTATTCAAACTGATACAAGCTATGAAAGTGAGATCTTGGAAGAGTGTTGCTGTTTTCATAAGGTAATACAAATACTGTACTGATAAATAATAATTAATAAATAGTGTGTAATAAGCATGTCACAAAAACAAATTTTATATTTCCAAGATCACTGCTTTTATAATTTATACTCAGGTAAAGGAGAAAATCCCTGGAAATATTCATTTTTAAGAGGGGGTTTGTGAGACTTAACATTTTAGTGAAAGGGGTTCACAGGTTGTTAAAGTTTGGGAACCACTGTCCTAGAGGGACACAGAAGCATATGGCTGCTATTCTTAGGGTCCCTGGGCTGGGACCTGGAGTAGTGGGTAGGCCTGGGTCCCTCCATAGGCCACTGAGGAAGTGGGCCTACAACTGGACAGCAATAACCCCTTAGAAGGGGATCTGAACTGTCAAGAGGCCCAGCTGGAGAGATGGTGCCAGAAGGGACGAAGAGGGAAAAACCATGGGCTCCATGGAAGAAGCCCTGGGCGTTTGGCCTGATATCAAGGCCAGAACTGTTTAAAGACACACCCTGACCAGAAGAAGGCGCTCATGAGAGGTGGGTGCCACACTGTTACTGGATCTAGCAAAATGCTTCCCTTTATGTGAATTATCACTTTTGGAATGGCAATAAATAGCTTTAAGTAGTGTACAGGGTCTTAAGTAGGCCCTCTGTGATGGGTGAATTTCACCCAAATATCATAAATGGTGAAAAGTGGGTTAGAATTCTCATGTTATCCCAAAGTGTCATTAGTAACAGAGAAGGAATTCTCTTTTTCTAAAAAGATGTTATTAACTTGATTTATCCATTTGGGGACAAATCATGTTAAGAAGTGTGCATCTGATCCTGTACTCGATGATGTAAATGACAAAATTCCCCATGAATTAAATAGTGCAGGTTTAGACCCCCCTATGTTTTCAAACAAAAATTGCTTGTCTTTATTATTGACACCTTAGATTATTCAAACTTTAATTATACATATTATTAGCATTTAGGCGCCCCAGTCGTAGATGAAGGCTGCATTGGGCTAGGTGCTGTACAATCTTTTTGTTCTGTTTGTAAGATTTTTGGGGCAGGGATTGTCTAAGTAAAATTTTAAATCTCTAGAATGTAAAAACTTGAATTTACTCTTCACATATTATGATGTTCTTGTATTTCACTCATTTTGGACAAGGATAGTTGACCAATCATTTTTGCTTTCTGGTTTTCATGCACTGACTAGCACCTTACTGAAATATTTAAGGGCTAATCTGGTACTCCTATCACAGGCAAAACTTCAGGTGGAGTCATTAACAGTTTTACCTACGTAAGTACTGCAGGATCAGACCCTTAGGCTGCAAAACTGCAGAGGAATCTTTATGTTCAAACAAACACAAAAAAGGCTTTTGGAACAGAAATATAGATATAACTTCATGGTATTTCTATTAATTATTAGCATTATGGAAGAGCCTGAAGGCCTCAACCAAGATTGGGCCCCATTGTGCTACGTCATTTACAAATCCATAGTAAAAGGTAGTCCCTACCATCAAGAACTTCCAATCTCAATACATTAAAAAAAGGAAGGCTGGGAAGGAAAGCGGAGGCCCAGAGAGAAGTGACTTGCTCAAGGTCACACAGCAGGGGAGCTGGGAACATCACACCACTTTTATAACCCACTCATCTTAGGTTTTTTGAAACCCTTTGCTAATGAAATGCAACATTTGGGCCTAAATTGCAGCATCCTTTTAATTCTGCTTAGGGTTCCCTGGTTGTGCTCTTAAAATTCCCAAAAGGTTCCCCAGGGCCAGTGCAACCTATTAGGTGTCCTAGATGGTCGCCTAGGGCACTAGCATTTGGGGGGCGGCATTTTCTTTGGCGGCGACCACGGCGGCCGGATCTTCGGGGAGGGGGCGGAGCAGAGGTGAGCTGGGGTGGGGAGCTGCCGCACAGCTCCCCGGGCTGGGGGTGGGGAGCTACTGTGGGGGGGTGCCTCAGGGCAGGGGGGAAGCTGCCACGGTGGGGGGGTGCCTCAGGGCAGGGAGCTGCCACAGGGCTCGGGGAGGGTGCAAGGTTAAAGTTTTGCCTAGGGCGCGAAACATCCTTGCACCAGACCTGCCTGGTCCAGGCAAGCCTTACGCTACCATGGTAGCAAGCATTATCGCACCCATTTTACATATGAGTAAACCCACACGCATTGGGAGGGTAGTGCCCAGATCCTCAATGGTATGTAGGCACCTAGCCTCCATTGAAGTCAATGGGAGTTAGGCATCTAAATACCTTTGAGGATTTGGGTCCAAGAGTCTGATCCTACAAAACCCTTACTACCATTGAAGTCAGTGAAAGAGAGGGTTGGTGTTTTTTCCCCAAGGTCACACATCTCTCATAGGCAATGCCTGGGATAGAGCTCCTAGCCCTCTGCTCCATCAGCCCTGGCCAAAACAGTAAACGCCCATGCACCAAAAGCTGGCGCCTTACAACGCACTGGAGCCCAGGCCGGCGCAAACGTGTCTCCGACCCAGACCCGAACCCGCTGCTTCAGCGGCTGAGCAATGCGAGCGCAACAGGATCCATTTCTCCGCCTTCCTCATCGGCCTCTCCTAGCGGGCTGCCTGGGGTAGAGGGCGGAGAGCAGCGACCCCTTGGGAGGTGCCGGGTCAGCCACTCCCCGGGCGCCTCGGTGCCTCTGCTCCACTGCAGCAGAAAGGTGCGCGGCCGCTGCTGCCGCCGGGGGAGAGTCCCCAAGCTGCCGACGCGGTTGGACTGAGCCGAGCTGTATGGGAGGAGCTTGGGCTTTAATGCACCATAAGGCTCCAGCAGCCAACAGCCGCCGCCGCACGAGCTTCTCTTCAGCCGCCTCCTGCAGCGGCCCCTCTCCCTGAGCCCGCGGCTGCGAGCGGGGCGAACCCCGCGGTGCCTGCCGACCCAGCCGCCAGCCTTGCCCCGCTAGGGAAACACCCAGCAGGGCCGCAGCTCTGCAAGGTTACCCCCTCCCAAAAAAAAACCCCGGAGCCGCGAGCTTTGCAGAAGCGGACACCATTTTGTGGCTAGCGGCTTCCTGACTGGGCGAGCCGGGGACTGCTGCATGCGGAAGGGAGCTCGCCCGGCGCCAGGGGAACCTGTTGGGCACCGCCAGAGCAGCGCTCGCAGCCCAGCCCAGCCCAGCTGCGGCACTTCGCACTGGAGCGGGGGCTTGCGGCAGCCTCACTGCAATTCGCCCGGCTGCAGCAGCCGCCGCCGTCCCTGAGAGGAGGAGGGAATTTGGACCTGGTGCTGCAACAGCAACCGCCCCCCGGGGTGGTGTAGGAGCCCGGGGTTTGCACCGTGTGCATCGCCGTCCCTGGGCGGAGAAGGCGATCTGGACCTTTGCTGCAGCCGGAGGAGGTGAAAGCTTGCTCGGGTGGTACCCCCGCCTCCCCCGTAGGGTAGGACCATGCTGTGCTCGATGCAACTCCCCTGCCCTCCTCTCCGCTGAGCCTGGCCGTGTTGGGGCGATGATGGATACTTGCCTGCTTGTTCTCACTTCTCACGAAAGTAAGCCTGCTGTAAATGGAGGAGGACATTGATACCCGCAAGATAAACAACAGTTTCCTGCGCGACCACAGCTATGCAACAGAAGGTAATTGCATGCTGAGGAGCCCACGGCGCGGAGAGCCGCATTCCGCTGGGGCGGAGGGGGTGGGGGGTTGGCGATGCCTTGGCGGGGCTCAACTTAGACCCAGGGCAGATCCGGCAGCAGCTCGGCCTCCGCATCTAAAAAGCACGGCCCCGGGGGAAGGCATGGGTGTAAGCAGAGCTTGTCGCCATGGCACGGAAAGGGCCAGAGGGTGTCGCTGGAATGGCAGCGGATTGCCACCGTGGGAGTGAGGAGGGCTTGGGCATGGAGCAGCAGGTGGATCCGGACAGCACCTCCCTTCGGGAAAGGCCAGAGGGGCCGTGTGGGGGGGTGGGCAGGGCCGAAGCTGTGCCCTGCCCTCTGAGTCACACACCGGGTGAGCTCCACTGGGATTCGGCTCTGCTCACATCTTTCTGTGTCAGCCTCGCCTGCCCACTCCCAGATGTCACCAGCCGCCCTCGAACCCTTTTTTGCTTTCATGGGGCCACGTTACAAAACGAAATTTAGCTCATGGTTGCCACAGGGCAGGGCTTCGGTTCCTGCCCGTTCATTCCTCGTCAGGATTATGTCACGCATCCAGAGGACAGTAAAAAGCCCCAAGCAACCGAAGCTCCCAAAAAACTGCTGATGTGTGATGAATAAATCGTGTCAAAGGGAAGGGCTGACAGCAGTCAGCCAGGTTCCGACACACGCGTTCAGAATGCAATGGGTGTCCATTTAGTTATTAATTCTGCAGCAGTGGTTTCTGCTGAATCAACAGTGAGCGGAAGCGGAGTGGGTTTAAAGTGTTCAAACATCTGGGATTTGTCTTGAAGGGAAACAGAAGGAAGAGGTGCCTTCTTTATTCGCTGTCCTTCAGTTAACCCATTAAAGAGGCTAGGCAGGGCTGTGCCTGGTAGATTTTTCACTATTAAGGGTGCAATTCTACCTCCCACTGAAACCAATGGGAGGTTTGGGTGTGGAAGGAATGTAGGATTGGACCCCAGCTTTGCAGATGAATAATGATAGAAACATCTCTGCAATACGGGGATGGAATCTAGTTGAAATCAGTGGTATTTCTCCAAGTCGATGCTGGTATAGCTGAGATTAGAATCCTGCCCACTGCTCCTGCAGTTGGGTGAGAATGAACTAATTACATATTTGTAGCAAACTGCCTTATTGGTATCATGCTGTCTTATTAATAGTTTTTTAGCCTTTTCACCTTCAGAATATTTGGAAAACATATTAGTAGTCTCAACACACGCATGCAAGGCAAATAAGAACTAGCATCCTTATTTTTACAGATGGGGAAACTGAGTCAAAGAGAGAAATTGATTTGCCCACTGTTTTAAAAGGAGTCACTGCGGCAGCTGGATTAGATCTCAAAACTTCCTGTCTCCTGATATGTTACACCGATCCCTAGACCAATCCTCTCACTGAGAAACAATATCTGTTTAGTTTTAAATTTGGAAATTGTATTAATTTGCCCTTTCACTTATTTCCTATCTGTCTTTTGGGAGGCAATATGGCCTGAAGGCTGTGGAATTGCAAGTATGTGGATGAGTGTGAAATTGCAAGTCAGATAATTCCGAGATCTAATCCTAACTGCCATTGGATGACAATGGCAAGTCACTGCATCCTTGTGCCTCAGTTTTCCCATCTGTCAAATGGGAATAATACATAATTCTATTTTGCAGGGTTGTTGTGGAAGCTAATTAACACTTTGCCTGTTAAAAGTGGCATTTAAATACCACTTTTATTTTTAATTACTGTTGTGATAAATGGAAAGATTTGTGGAATATCAAATAGACATTGAATTACAATTTGAGAACATGGTACGTTATATTCTGACGATATCACTGACATTCAAAGGGTCTGAGCATAGGGTTTTTTTATTTTAAATTCTGGGAAATACAATATATAATGTGAATGAAAATATTTTATTAGGGTTATAATTATTTGTTCCTCTTGAGACTTATTTCCTGAAAGGTTTCCACATGAAGAAGTATAATTTGACTAGCATATTGCAAAAAGGTGAATTGGCTGTATGTATTTCTGCCAAAAACAGTATATACAGTACCTCATCCCCCAGCTAAGCATTTCAGGTTTGGCCACTGGTGCATTTGAACGTGGCTTTCCTATTCTGGTATGGTGGGGGGTGGGAGATCACGTGGCCTTGTAAAGTTAGAGTAACAGAATGCAAGATGTAATACACATTTCACACTGCATTCTGCCACAAAAAGGCAGCCTCCACCCAGTGGGTAATGCCCAGGAAGGATGGATAGGAAAAGGACCTATTTGCCTCTGTTAGTATTTCTGATTCCTGAAAACCTGCAATCTCAAAACTCTCTTGCTTCCCAGACAAAATTGCTTGTTCAGACAAAAGGCAGCTATTGTTCAAAAAGAAAAATTAATCCTCTGAAAAATTACAGGGAACCCCTTAAACAAATAATCCCTTCAAACAGGAATCCAGATTAAGCTCTTTACTGCTTCATTCTCCTGAAATGTGACACTGATACGACATACACAGAGAAAATCAAATGTATGAAAGGAGAATGAGATTTTTTATTTTGATGTGCTATTAGATGGAAAAATTAAATTGTTCAAAAGTGTGGGACACCTAGTGATTCACAGATTAAAACACTGATCATGTACAAGGTAGCACTGCTTGTGGGCAGCTGAAATGTACCTGGTCAGTCAAAGGGCTGCAGCCTGGACATGGATGGCAGTGGCCAAAACATCCAGAAAGGTAATTTGGTGAGGATTTGTGGGAGGCACGCTAATAGTCCTTTCTTGATGTAAGGGGAGAGTGGCGGTGCAAATGTCACCCTCTAGGGGGCAGCTGCTACAGCTGACACATTAAGTGCCATTTGACTTCCACATGATTACCTGCTTGGAACTCAGGATGAGTAGAAGGATGACTGGCTGAGCTGAACCTGCAATGATTTAAACTCCTAATGCTAAGAAGTCTGGGTATTTCAAACCTGATGCTTATACTTTAAAGCTATTCCTTCCAGCTGTTGCATGGCAAATTCCCCCAAGTTGTGCCACATAATTCCAGAAAGAACAGTTTAATGCAACAAACTAGAGAACAATAGTGCCTCCTCTCCTTAAAAATGAAATTGAGGAACCTTAATTATACCCCTGATCATCTAATAGGTAACATACCAGGTCAGAATAAAATGTCTGTTGCTGGACTTTAAGAAGTAGATGAAAATATTTCATAGCAGAATATCAGCTGGGAGTTTCTTTTGCACCTATCATGCTTTGATGGACTTCTGATTCCTCTTGAAATATTTCTATTAGAACGAGGCTCAGTGAGCTGTGAAATACTATAGCTGGTTAGTGCGTGGTGTAAGTGGAAAAAAAAATCATAGGAAGTTGTGTTTATTTCTCCCCCCCACACCACAAAAGTAGCATATGTCTAAAAAGATTTGATTGATAACATTTCTTCTATTAAAAATCCTTACAATGCCTCTGCAGTATGTGAAGACTTGCTTTTGAAATGAGGTGGCCCGCAGTGTTTTTAACTGAAGAAGTAAATGGGGTTATGTAATTTGGGTTAGTGAAGTGTTGTTGCTACTTAAATCGCTTTGATATTTTTATGCAAATGCAGGATAAGTATGGTATTTCAAATGCATTCACTTGAATCCTTATCTTTGAGCAATGCTCAGACCTACCGGTAATGGAGGGAAAAAAATCAGTGCTATTAAAACTCAGCTTTACAGTTGCCAGGAATTATCAAGCTATTGAATATAATAAACAGAATTGGTATAAAATTACTGGCAAGTATTATGAAATTCACCAGAGTTATAAGACAATGATGAAAAGTGTGTACTAAATTTCATTGCGGAAGAATTGCCATTCCATTCTGGGTCATTTTATGACCCAGAAATTATATAAAATTTTCACAGAATGGGAAATATTCCATAAAATGCCCCAGACATGCTTTTTTGATGCATAAATCAACCTATATATGAACAGCAATTTTAAAATTAAAAATGCAGAGTCTTTGCTTGAAAATAGGACAAACTAAGACCCTTTATCTGAGTGAAAAGGAACCTGTTTTTGCTCCACAGAGGTTCCATTTATTGAGCAAAATGTTGGAGAGCTAAAAGTCTCTCTCCCCCCCCCCCTCCACAAAATTGGACCATTTTCCTTAGCTTGAACCAAAAGGTGAATCCATTATATGTTTAAGTCTTCAGATTTCAATGTGACTATTTTGCATAGCCCTGCTATTTACCCAACACTTCTCTGAAACCCTCTAGGTGGCTTGCAGGACAGAAAAGTACTGATTAAAAAAATGTGAATAATCTCAATATGGTCCCTTTATGCTTCTCATGTTGAATGGAAAGTGCTGGGTTCATGATGAGCTGCTTGTACTCTGCAATTTCCAGTGCAAAGGGAACTGCTGCTATTACCACTTGCATCTAGTAAAACAACACTTTAGTAAAACGGACATCATTTTTTAAGCTGTCTTGCAAGCCGTCTGTGTCTGATGATCCCACTGATGTCAGCATGCATTCTAAGTGTGGAGAAATTTCAGGATTGGGCTTTTTAGCCGCAGCTACTACATTTGGCTGACTTTGCCACTAAAGCTTACAGAAATCTCCATTCCTTCTAGTTTTTGTAGGATACATCAAACTTAATTTTATGCGACTCGACAGGTGCCCTTGCCATTCCAGACATCTGCTAACCTCCTCCAATGGAGAGGGCTAGCAGGTGTTTCCTTCACATTGCAAATGCCAAATATAGTGCAGTAGAATCTGTTTTGTATTATGTTTAAAATTGTAAACACTCCGCAGTCAGGAAATGCGAAAGTTAGAATTCCTCTAATATTCTTAACTTCCCTGCATTGCACATATGGGATCCAAGTTTGCCATGTTTGTGACTTGTCTGAGAATTGCTGCTATGTGAGATGTGGAATAATCACTAGGCAGTGCTCCACCCAGATTTCCAATGATTGTGTACTTGTGATAATGCAGAGCTGTGTAGAGAGCTACTGGGGAGTTGTCCAGGAGCCC